ACTTTTACTCAAAGAGGTCTGACTGATAGTATCACTAATACAGCTTTTTAGGAAACCAAATAAATGGGCTGGAAAATCAATGTATGAGACTACATGCTTACCTTTTGTAGGTGAAGCCTTGATCAAATGGTACTGTTTTCATCAGTATTTTCGTGAGGTTCCAATAATACTTGGTTATGTGCATTCAGGAACCAATGCCTGTAACTCAAAGGCACATTTTACTTTTGTGTGGTTATATAATCATCTTTATGCACATAACTTCCTAGATCTCCTTGAAATGAAATTAAAATAATTTTCCATAATTGTCTTCCTTGTCAGAAAGTAGGGCCAAGGGCTTTCAAGAGCTGGTGCTGCAATTTTTGTAAACTGCAGAATGGATGACATCACCCTTTTGGGGATGCCTTCATTTATGCTCTTTCTGGATATATCTTCAGAAGGCAAACTTGCCCCTGGACAGAGGGAAATCCACACATAGCTTTATGAGTCTTCGTATACTGAAGGCTTTATAAGCTGATTGGTAGGGTTAAGGAGCCACTGTTTAGAGGGGAACGAATGCTGTTAATGGGCTCTTTGCTGAACAAAATTGTGCCTGATAATTTTTCTAGTGAGCCTGTTCTAGAGCCCTCTTCTATACAGCCTAAACTTCTCTAGTGTGAGCTTCTGGAACTTCCATACTGGGAATGTGTACCTAAAAGCTGCCTCCACTGCCCTCCCCCAGTTGGAATCTCAGACCCCAGTCCTCCTGGTGAATTTCACTTCCAAATACAATGACACTCATGGATGAAGGAGGCACTAGAGAGAAAGACAGTCCTTATTAAAGTGTAAACTTTTGGATGAAATGAGTATTTATTATTTTTTATGTACTCCCAGCTAAATATTCTGAACTCTTTTCTGGCAGGGTTTTCCATGTATTCCAAATGATTTCTCATCATTAAAAATATTTTACCAAGCAAACAAGCTGGGCTTTACCAAGCTCTGCTTCTGCACTCAGTTGTCCAGTGATTGGAGATTAGTGCTCTGGTTTCTATGGGAGATAAGTTTAGAGACTACACCCAACAAAATATGAAGCAATGCCTTTTAGCAGAAATGTGAAGTATGTAGCAAGGTCCATGGGCCTTGGGAGAGGACAAAAGAAGCTCTTGCTCATGGAGCTCAGCCTGGAGGAACAAGTCACAGAGGGCTGATCAGAAACACATATATAGTACATTAAAATGAGTGCATTATGGGTTGAATCATGAATATCAGCTTTCCCCAGTTCATATGTTGAAGTCTCAAGCCCCGGTATCTCAGGATGTGATTGTATTTGAGGACAGGGTCTTTAGAGAGGTAATTAAGTTAAAATAAAAGGCATTAGGGTAAGCCTTCATCAAATATGGTGAGTGTCATTAAAATACAGGATCAGGACACATACACACACATATACACACGGAAGACTGTGAGGACACAGGAAGAAAATGGCCATCTACAAGCCAAGGAAAGAGGCCTTACAAGAAACAAACCCTACTGATAACTTGATCTTGGACTTCTGGCCTCAAAAACTGTGAGTAAATAAATTTCTGATATTTAGGCCACCCCACCCATGGTACTTTGTAATGACAGCCTGAGCCATTACAAAGCGATGTGGATGCAACTAAAACCGACTTAGAGTGATGTTGCTGTGAGCTTGTGCTCTGAGCATTACACCCACAGAATGAAATTGTATTTTCACCATTCCACAGTGTAGCTGGATCTTTTCTGAAGGCTTTAGCATACATTTTCTTGCTGTCATATGATCCAACTATGACTAGGCATGCTTCTTTATATTGATCTTATTATCTGTCTTCCTCTTTTGCATCTTTACCTGCTGAACACATGTAGAAATTTGTCAAGCCTTCTGCTACTTATCCAAGCTACTCATATTTCCCTCTTTAAAGTTCACCATGTAAATCTCTTTCATTAATCTGTAAATTTAAATTGCTAATGTGCTACTTGTCTAGGGGTCTTTATAACTTGGCATTTGGGGATGTTTATCTTTTCAACTCAGAAGTGAAGAGAGTGATTGTTGAATTCTTGTTTTGGGCTGCATTCTCAGTTCTGCTGAGGCTATGGGCTGGCCTAGGGGGAGTCAATACACAGGGTTCTATATATGGAGGGGCTTTATACAGGGTTATAGAAATGTCCTTCGTGGTCCAAATATGTGTCAGAGCCCAATTCACGATTTTAGGTCAATAGACAACAAGGGCCTGGGGATGAAAATTCCATGGGTTAGTGTCTCCATGGAGACCAGGAAATGCATAATCTCTATGGAGACCCTCAAAATCTCTCCTTCTTAAATTACAGTAGTATATGATCTTTGTAATTGTAAATTGAAGGCAGAGGAAAAGTGACAAGGGGAAGAGAATGAAAGGATAACCCCCTTCTTTCCTTAGTAGAAATATAGCTTTTGTGATTCTAAATTTAATCAATTCTATTATTGTAAGATTCTTAAGTTAGGATTCTGGGAGGATAGGATCTGAGAATCTAGTATTTATATGCCTAACATTGAACCAAATGTCTGACATGTAGTCAGATGGCTTTCAAAAACTGTGTTAGTGTATGAATGTAATGAACATTTGGGGCTCAGGCCCTGTCTATAATAATCTCTGCTCTGCTAAAACAAAGGGAGAGGACTACTGTCCTGAGGATACTGGGTAATGTCTGTATATGATTGAGGGGAACACTAACTTCTATTTTGCTTCTTCTTGTTCAAGGAGAATGGTGTTCAATAGTACAAATATAGTAAAAGGAGGAAATGAAGTTCAGTTGTCATGAGGAGATAAGCAGGGTATAGGGAAATAGACCAACTAATTAAGGCAAGTCAGTGTCCAGATAGATTACATCCCACTGTAACCCACATATTCTTAACCTCACTAGCGTCCGCGGATACAAAAAGGGACTTAGATTACTTTTTATACCTAGATTATTATGATCCAATGCCCTCTGGGGCTTATTGGTTGGAAATTAGTCCACTGCAAAATAGGCCCCAGTGTTTCTTTAGTTTCCTATAGTAATGCCTCAGATCAGTAACCAAACATTTCTATTCGTCCTGTTTTTTCCTCCTGATATTGCTGACATGTTATTTATTGCCCTGACTGCTGACCCTAAGGAGAGACATCTTATAATGACAGTTTCTACTGGCTGACTACTGCTGACAAAATCATCTTTACTTCCAGAGATAGCCACTGCTAAATCTTGGTTTATATACTTTCAGGTTTTTCTATTTATACATATAGACATAAAATTACACATATATGTAAATGATATATATTTAAATATAACTTCATATACATGAATTAGCTTGAGATCAAATTATATTGTTTTGTACCCTGAATTTTTCTTGATATAAAATGAAAATATTTTTTCCATAATACCAAATATTGAAATACATAATTTTTAATGACTATGTGGCACTCACTGTATGAATATACCATCATTTACTTAACAATCTTTGTTAGTGTTTTAATCTGTTCCCAGTTTTTTCACAATTCTAAATATCACTGCACTGCATCTTTTTATATTCATTCTTATGCACTTTTTGGTTGTTTACCTTAGCACATGTTACTGTAAAAATTCCTGGGCTGAATATTATGAACACTTTAAATATTTATACTCTTGCTTGTTTTGCTGTTCCTCTCCTATGTATCCATTTTTTAGGTACACAAAATTTACACAAGATGATAAACTAGGTAGCAGGGTTCATGCTTTGCCAGTCTTCACAGTACTTGGGGCTGGCAAAGCTTTAATGAAGTTAGTGTAGTACCAAATGATAACCATGGAGGTATTTGAAGGTGTCCTGGGGAAGCCTGAGGAAAAATGAGCATATTTCTCATGGGAAAGCAGGTGTTAAGTTTCATCATCCATGCCTTGTGTGATACAGAGCACGGGAGGGAACTGAAATTCTGAATACAATGATCTCAGAAAAACAGTTCCTATCTCAGTGGAGGACTTTTTAGAGTTTCCTCCAATAGTCTGTAAACTCTTTGGGGCTCATTTTTTGCATGTTTACCCTCGCACAACAATGGTACAACATGGACACTCATGCATCAAGGAGGTATCAGCGTCCCAATAATCTGAGGTACAGATAACTTCACTGGCTACCACTCTGTGGTTATAAATAAATACTTTCTGGAGGCAGCACGGTCTCATTCCTTCTTCTTTCTTTCCTTTGTAGTTGCAAAATAGAGGAGTAACATGTGGAGACAGTACTGCTGCCCGTGGTGGGGCCTGGGCTTTTGTAGGCAGTGGAAAGAGAGGGAGAGGACTGGGGAAAGCCTAGACTGGCTTTCTTCGATTGTCCTCCCTTTCTTCTCGTCCCTCCCTCCACTTCCCCTTCTCCTAGTGGACTCTCCGGCTTCGCGCCAGAGCCCAGAAGCGGTGGAGTCAGCCCCTCACTCACTCCTTAGCTAAGTTTACGGCGCCTAGCATGCCAAGCGGGTCTATTTTCAAGAGGCAAAAACACCGAGCATTAACAGCTCTCGGTCTCTCCCCTCCCAGTTTCCTCTTTGGGTTGGTTGGAAACTTCACCGAGACGCCGAGGAAGCTCCGCCCAGGTAGTTCTGAACCGGCCCGTGCCTGAGGCCCTGTTGGGCATTCTTCCTCCTGAAGTCCCCCAGCCCCAAACTGCCTTCGAGGAGGTCGACCAGACCCCGTTTGCCGGCGGGTAGATAGGGAAGCGTGGGTTGCTTGGAGGAAAGGAGGAAGATAGTAGAGTAAGAGTTAGTGCTAACGAGCGGTTAGCACTCACCAGACTCCCTAAGCTCACAACGGGGCCCGGGCAGGGTATCCACTTCTCCACGCAGGGAGGACACCCAGTTGAGGCCCGCTCCTTGCACCAACTGCCTGCCTCCTTCCCGCGCCGCCAACTGGGGCTGAGGAGCAATTCGCTAGCGACGCTCAGATTCCCCGCCAGCACAGGCGGAACGCGGCGCAGGTTGCGCAAGACCGCTGCGGCCTACAGCGCCGGGCGGCCGCGAGCCACCTCCCCCTCCCGGAAGCGCGGGGCGGGGTCCCCGGCCTGGCTGCGGAGGCGGGCGCGGGGTCCGGGTGAGGCAGGACGTGCTCGGCGCTAGCGGGTTCTGCGGTTCGTACGCTCCCACCCGGCTCCGGGCTGCCGGTCTCCAACCAGCAGCAGTGGTAGCGGCGGCAGCCCCTGCCCCGCGCCCCTCGCAGCCACTCCCCGGCGCTGTGCATGGAGACACCGTCCACCACTTGCCGCTGAGCCACCGTTTGGCCCGGGACCCGCGAGGGCTGGGTGGCCTCGGGCTTCGGCCGGTTCTGCCGAAGCCAGACTACTGATTGGCCGGCTACCTCCGCCGTCCGGAGGCTGCGTGTGGCTCGCGGGCCTCGTCGCCAGCGTAAGTCGGCGCAGCCCGGCCGTCCCGTCTCAGGAAGTGGCCGTCCTGACCGCCATGGCTCACTCACCGGTGCAGTCAGGCCTGCCTGGCATGCAGGTAGGCAGGAGCAGGGCCGCAGAGGGATGGGAGGGAGGGATGCGCCGGCCCGGGAGGAAGCGGGGAACTTACGGGTGTAAACACGGGCCCCCCCACGCTGCCCCTCCCGGGGTCGCGCCGGCCTCGCGCCGCTCTCCCAGCCCTCTAGGGCATCCTTGCCCGGCGTGGCGACCCGCTCTTGGGCCTGGAGGTGGGGGTAGCAGGCGCCTGAGGCCGCGGCCTAGTCTGGAGTAGCGGTGGTCAAGGGGGGATGTGGGGTGCCGGCCTCCCCGCCCTCGCCGCTACCGTCTTTCCCCAATGCCTCTAAGCTGCAGGCCCAGCGCGGGCCCCAGCCCGGAGGGAGAAGTGATGTAGGGAAATGGCTTTGGAGGCCCCTGCGCGAGCTCTGGGCCCTGCGTGCGTGCGTGCGGGGGTGGGGTGGGGTGGCGGAGGCCCCTGTCCTCCAAACGAGCGGGCAGCGAAGTTAAGAGGCGGGAGGGGAATGGGGTGCGCGCTGACACTTGTCCTGAGTCGGGCGGGGCGGAGAAGGCTGGGTGGAGTGGAGGAAGGTGTAACTGCTAGCCCCACTTCTAGCGTGTTCCGCGCGTTTCCTGTTTGTGCAGACTGGGGGGAAAGTGTGCGACCCTTTAAACCAGGAACCAGGAACAAGGAATCATTTCGGACTACTTGCACTCGGAGCCGAGGCTGAGCCGCGGGATCCCGGGCTTTTTTACTTTGAGACTTGATTGGATCCAGATGAGTTCCTTCCCAGTAAACCTCTTAATTGATGCTTTGTGGCATCTTGGCCTACCAGTGACTTTTTTGGAGGGTGCGGAGAAGTTGAATTTCAAATTTACATGAGTGCATTAAAGTTTTTCTTCATTTAGGACTGTTTTTCGTCCTTTGAAAAATAAAACTACTATCCTTGGCTAGTTTGTAATGTTTGTAAGCGCTTAAATGGTGGCAAATGATTAGGATTAAAATCTCACGATGCAGTTAGTGTTTGTCTTGTAAGTTTTACTTTCTCACTCGTTTATGTAAGCGAGTGAGCCTAAGAAAACAACCACAGTATCCAATTGGATTATTTATCTTACAGATACCGGCTCATTTTCTCTTCCCTCGCTTTTGAGGGCTGAGAGGAATACCGCTGGCCTCTTAGAAGCCAGGATTCTGTTCCCCTCATCTAACACAGATCATTACCTCTGTTTTTAAAACTATAATAAGAAAACTGGATTTCATTTTTCAGGTTTGAAATAGAAAAATAGTAACATAATGTAGCCAGAATTTTAGTCCACTTTTTTTTAAAACTCCTCCATGGAGTAGCAGTTAAAGTTAGTTTCTTAGAAGGGTGCTTCAAGAAAAATTGCCCTTGGATTTCATCTAAATAGTTTTAAAACTTGACAGGCATTTAAAACCTAAGCTTCTGCTGACTGTTAGGTAAAAATCAGATGTAGTTTCTTGGTATTTTTTAAAGTTTTTGCTTTGGTTTGAATTGGAAGGCAGTGTGAACTGGGTGAAAATTATTTCTGACCAGGAGAGTAAGAAGGACCTCTTGTAATTTAAAAAACAAAAAAAAACCCAACCCAAACTTTTACTCAATACTTCCTTTGGACTGACTTTTATGCTGTGTTAGGTTGCGATCTAGCACAAATAACTGCTTAGAGTTCACTTCGGCCTTGGTGGAAAGAGAATCAGTTTGAAAAGCTACTTAAAGCCCCACTAGCTGGTGTCCTGAAGTCAGTATCAGAAACTAGGTGGTTTCTAGTCTCTACTTCTTTTGTCCTCATTTTTTTTTTAAGAGTGTGGACCAGTACTTTTAAATCTTGGGAAAACATGAACTTTCTTTTATAATTTTGCTCCCCAAATATAGTGTATTTCCTAGATAATGGTACAATGGAACCGTTTTTATTTTGCTTTCTCAGTGTAACAGCCGATAAGTTTTTATTTGTTTGAAACAACCAAATTTGCAGTTGTTACAGTTTCAGTGGTGTGAGGGTGACTTCTGACAGTCTGTGATACTGTATTAGTATTGTACACCTACAAACTGTATATAATTGTTTTTAGTGTCCTATTTGGGGAAGAACATTCCTTTCTTGTTCCCACCCTCCAAATCCCGCCCCCCCCCAAAAAAAAAACAACAACCAAGCACATTTATTTTCTTTGAATTAGTAGTTGCTGCTGTCCAGGGAGGCTTTCCTTAGAGTTGTTAAGGATTAAGTTAAAAGGCATACCTGCCTTAGACTGCTCTCTGGGATAAAACAGAAGCACCAACCCTTCTGTGCCCTGCCCTGATACATCTCACATCCCTTCCTTTTTTAGCCTCTCTCACCACATGACCAGGGCTTACAAGGATTTGGCTTAACAATTTCAGAAAGATGGCAGAATAAGTTGATGGCCTAGGCAAAGGTGCTTAAAAAAATAAACCTGAATGAAACAACAGTTTAGTATAAACATCATTTTTCACTGTCTTGAAAATCATTTTTATGTCTCTTGATTCTTTCTGGTACCACTCAAAGCATGCTCTTTTCTAGATGTGCAAACCAACAGAGACTAATTGAACTGACCCAGGTACTGTTATATGGCAAATTCGTGACTTGAAAACCAGATTTTTTTCCTACCTTTTAGAGCATACTTCTCACCATGCTGTATTACTGCTTTTTTATTAGTTTTACATAAATTAATGTGTAATTCATCCCAACTTGGGTTAGCTGAAGAAATGAGAAATGTGGGATTGATGTCTTCTTTAATAAATCAGCAGTCGTTAACTGAATGTGCCAGGCCCTAGGTAATTAATGACTGTAAACCTAAATAACATCATTTTAAATAAATGTTTAATGAAAATTGCCCAAAAGCCTTTTCTTTTTTACCTCCAACACTCCAGTTTCATATTAACAAAGGGGAAAAAATAGAAATCATGAACTGAGTGTAATAACTACAAATAGACAAGAAGAAATTAGCTTAATTTGTGGATTTAACTGTACCTTGTTCTTCATTGAACATGGTGGCATTTCACTCAGTTAAGATGAAAAGAAAATCAAACTTCAGTTGGAGGCTGGTGCACTGATCAGCTTATAGTTTGCATAGTTATAATTTACAAAGAAATAGATTTTGGTTTATTAATTTTTACTACAGAATTTTATCAGTCACTTTAAACTTTTCTGGATGATGACCCACATGAGAAATATATTTTACATCAAGACCTGAAACAGAACTTTTAGAAGACAGTCCTAATCATTATTACTTGGTGAAGTAGTTGTGTGATGTATTGTATTTTATTTTATTATTAAAAAGCTGGTTGCAACACCAAATTGATTACATACCTGAGTGATTTTGACCTAAGTTTGAGACACTGATTAGCTATGTCACATGTGAAGTAGGGCCTGAGATCAGTTAGCATGTTTTGAGGATGCCATAAGTTTAAGATATTTTTGTATTTGAAAGTATAGACACTTTAGAGGAATAGCTAGAAAATTTTAAAGTTTCTAGTGGTTAGCATCACCCTTCCACTTTTTTACTTGGCTTGAGACTGCCCCTTGGTGTGGGGAGAGAGTGAAAAATATTTATTTAATGGCCAGAATGAATGCATTGGGAACGTCTTTCAAGTGTTCTTGCTTACCCTGGGGAAACGTGTGTTCTGCAGAATCTGGGAAATGAAGGTAAACAGAGAGACAGCTGGATTTAATTGTGGCTTAAGTGCTCCTGTCCTCCCCCCCCACCCAGTGTCACATTTCCATAGTTTTTTTTTTCCTGTTTCCATGGAGAGGACTCCCTGTGTTCAGCCTGTTACCATCTACATTCAAGGAAAAGGTTGGCCTATTAAAGAGTGTGGACATCTAGGGTGTTTGTGAGATTTAGGTTCTAAAAAAGCTCTTTGAGGGAGATGTTGTATTGTAGAATGCGGCCTGTTGTCTTAGAATTTTGGAATGGATGGGGAGCCTGCATTCATGCAACACATTTATTTGTCTATGGAGTGTGGTGTCAGCCACTGCGTGAGGTACAGGTGATAAACTCCTTTGGTCCTGTCCTCAGGAAATCAGCAGCTTAGTGATAGCTGATTTAAATGAGTAACTGAGGTACACAAAGAGCAGAGGTGTGTGGTTGAAAAGCTGGCTCTTAGACCTCCGCATAGAGGGGTAGCATAGGCCCAGGGAAGGGGGCCTGTGTTCCCAGCTACAGTCCAGTACCATCGTTGAGTGTCCTATACTTTAGGAATCGTGCTTCCTCAGTAGAAAGTGGAAAGAGTTGGATTCTGGGGAGTGGTGGGTGCCAGCTTGGAAGGTAGTGGTAGCACTTTAGGTGAGAGAGGAACCTCAGGAAAGTGAGAATAGGAGCAGAGAAGATAGTGGTTGGAGGTCCCAGTGTCAGGGTAGCCTGGGTGGACCTTTTCACAAGGTTCACTTAAACCTTGGTCATTTGAACTCTCAATGAACATTTTATAGTCTTTTATTTATTGTTTCCCACCCCCCTTCTTTTGACCCTTTTTGCTGTTTTATGCTGGAGTAGTAAGGAAAATAAAGGCACATTTTTTTTGTAACTATTAGTTGCTTAAGTTTTTAAAAAATATCTACTTTAATACTTCACATTCCTCTTTTCCTACGTCATCACAGCTTAACAGTATTAAGAATTTGTTTTGCTTAAGAATGTATTTTAGGGGTGAGAGTTGTCAGAAGATTTTTAAAAATTAAAATTAAAAATGTAGTTTGGAGCATTCTTGATAGTATTTCACATAGAACCAAGTCAGCTTCAAGTAAAAATTGGTCAGATTAGATTTTTCTAGGCAGCTAATGTAGTACAATTCCAGCAGAGAGTAGGTAAGGGTAAGTGGCAGCCATTGTCACTGTATCCTGTTTCTTTTTTAATTTTTTTGTTCTCATTTTTGATCTATGGCTCTAATGTGTGGAGCTGAGCTTACTTATTTGATGTAGGTTGACACTGCTTTTCAGTTGGACAGTATTTTTCTAAGACCTCGGTTCAGGACGTAGTGTGAATGGTTACTGAAGAAATGAGTCTGGTTGCTGCTG